GCCGGAGTTAAACCACGACATCTGGCTTCTTGAACCTCTCTCGAGTTCACTGCACTTACTAGAACTGTTTTGTCTGACCAAAGCAGTGGATGTGACAGCTCTGTACCTCACCCAGGTAGCTGAGGTGACTGACAAGAGAAGTCATCAGCCAAACCCTCTATGAGCAACTGACATAACTCCATCAAAATTAACTGATTTGGGCACAGCTCCCTTCCTGCTTCCCCTTTCCTTTGCCTCCCAAAACCTGAGTTAATTCCACTCTTGCTCCACACTCCCATAAAAGCTCTCCAAAACCAGAAGTGGCACTGAGGGAAGCACGAGCTCTTGTGCACAAGAACAGGGACAACAGTACATCTCCAGATTCTGCAACTGTTTGAACCTGTTTTCCAATTTCTTGGTCATAAGAAAGCTATGCCCTCCTCATGCTAGTGTTTAGGGACATACAGAAAAATGAAAGGCTTGAAAGAAAATGGGATTTAGGCTTTATTAAGCAATTTGAACTGTTTCTCTGTTAGTTCACTGAGTGTGTGTAGGGAGTGTTTGGGGCTAAGCACTTCAGTTCCTGTGCCGATGATAGGCAGTGGCACACAGCTCCACAGAAGCAAATCCTTTTTTAGACTCTGAACTGTTAAGTCATTCTAAAGAAGCCTCAAACATACCCCTCAGTGACCGCAAGCAATGGCAGTTCTCCATCCAGCTAAACAGAGAGCAGCATCTGTAGAAAATTCACAGGCTGGAAGCTGTGGAATCACTCAGATGCCTCCGTCCATCCTACGTGACCTGCTCTTCAGTACACGCCACCACGTGGCTGTGTCGCTGTGCTAGAAACGCCTTGGTGCAGCTATCTTGTCTTCGCTTACGCTGCGCAGAATGAAAACAAAGCACAACACTACAAACCCTGTCAAATCTCTGCAACAAGGTCTGGGTACAAACCTGAGCTAATTAAACACTCTTCCTCACGGTAGGAACTGACATCTTCCCATTTTCCCAAATATTTACATATACTATTAAAGTGGGTTGGATGCATGGAATTGGCATTATTCCTCCCACGCATGCAGTTTCTCCTGTTTCTGAAGGGGGTTTGTTTGGGGTTTCGTTTGTTTGGGGGTTTTATTTGTCTCTTTTGGGGTATTTGGGGTTTTGTTGTCTTTAGGGAGGTATGATTCTGAAAACAAGTAATAACTGGCAGAGACTGTACACAGAGGTATAGCATGTATTGTAAGTTCACTTTGGGCAGTGTTATTTTCCTGTTAATTAACTGGATTGCCAAGTTGGTAGTACCTCTTTAATTAACCATCTGACTGTCACCAGATTCTTTTGCATCCTCTACACAACTGGAAGGCACATATGAATGCTCTGACCTTTGCCTTGCTGCAAACTAGTTGTGAACAGATGCCTTCTCACACTGGCAGAGGAATAGGAGCACTCTGACCACCTGATTGTACTCCTGGTTCTGTTTAAACCACGACTGCCCATTCCTTTTACTGCCTTACGCTCTTGCCACCCTGCCCGCACACCCTCAGGCCTCACCTTGACGTCTCGATGGGCAATGTTCATGGAGTGCAGATACTGGATGGCTGTTCCGATGTCTCTCATTATCTCAGAGGCCTCTATAAATACAATTTTAGAGAAAGGTCACATTAACATTCCCACTGTATCTCAGGGACATGCTTGGGAGTGCTTATGACTTACAACAGCTTGCTGGAATACAGGGCTAGCATCAAGACTAGAAAACCTAAAATTAGCCCTAACAGCTGTGTTTTGGTTTTGCAGGCAACCATACCCCCGATTCCCCGGCTGCTCAGCCCTCCTCCTGAGCAGGCACTGCAACTGAACGGCTGAGACTCCTGCTTTTCCTGAGCCTCTACATTTGTGCTTTAATTTGCTCACCAGAAAAGCAGCAAGAGCAGAGCAGGTACGCAAGGAACATACAAGACTGTGGAGAAAGGAGCCCCAACCTGGACATATCCCTGATTGTCCAGGGTCTGTCCTTGGTTGTCCGAGATGGAAGTTTAAGTTTCAGCTTCTAGTTCAGGGGTAACAGAGAGATCTAACAGATTTGCTACAAATAGAGCAACATAACAATATAGTAATTTTAGGATAGGTCACATCTTCATTCCTCACTGTCTTTAGAAATTTTTCCGCAGAAGAAACAAAATCAACAGTTCTATTGATTATAATGCGTTTCTAAAATTTAACATAACCCCAGTGGGAAAACATAGAATCATAGAATGGTTTGGGTTGGAAGGGACCTTAAAGATCATCTAGTTCCAACCCCCCTGCCATGGGCAGGGACACCTTCCACTAGACCAGGTTGCTCAAAGCCACATCCAGCCTGGCATTGAAGACATCCAGGGATGGGGCATCCACAACATCTCTGGGCAACCTGTTCCAGTGCCTCACCACCCTCTCTGTGAAGAATTTCTTCCTGATATCTAATCTAAACCTCCCTGATTTCAATTTATACCCATTACCCCTTGTCCTATCATCTAGTGGAAATTCTAGTGGTTGGTGAGCTGCCTTGCAACAGCTGTACTCTTCAGGTCTGGAAGAGTTCAGTTACACAGGGAGAGGTTTCAAAGCAGGGGGGACTGACATTCCCATTGTACCAAGTGAGCATTATATTACATCTCCATTGACAGGGAAACAGGATTAGCAACTTCAACCTGAGTCTCTGTTTTCCGCATAGCTAGAAACCTCAGCTGCAGTAGTGAATGCAGAAATTATTTTACTCTAACCTGGAAACCTTTTCTCATATGGCTCGAGATTGAAATGACACAGTCTCAGGCAAGGACAATCAGAAGGCAGGACTAATCTTCAGGGGAAACCTTGCACAACCTTCTCCTTCCTGGCTCAGGCCAAAAACCCTGTCTGCTAATGGGAAGTTGTGGCTGATACACGAACACCAGTGAACCCGGGGAATCCAGTGGAACAGGACTCATTTATCTCAGGAAAGAATGAAGATGGCTTTTGCTTAACAGTCCCAGATGGTTTCTGACTAAGTGTTCAGAATGTTATACGATGGTATTTAACGTAGAAAAATCATGTTTTTAGCAGAGTGGAGTCACTAATGATCACAGAACCAGTTTCCCCCTTGGAATCCTGTATTGTAGAGAGCAGCAAATACAGTTCCTGAAAATGCTTGTTTTCCATACCTATGAGTCTCTCATTCCACTTAAAGGATCCATCCCAGGCTAGGAAACACAGGATCACAAAAGCCTGGCCTCTACACCAGCCTTGCAAAACAGCCACGGGAACTTACAAGCTCAGGTGTACATTTTTATTCTTCTAATCCTTTTGTCAGCGTGATAGTCCCAAATGCTAACAATCTTAGTTCTGAGCAGAAAAAAGCTCTCATCTGTTGTGAATGGGCACGGAGAACCACAGTCAACCACACCTACGGTACTCTGCAAATAATAAATAGCAAAGACAATAAAACCGGCAAGGTCTGCCACTGATTCACAGCAGGTCTTGAAACTTGCACCTAGTCCCTGATGGAGATGAGCAGGCTTGTTTACAGCGTGGCTAATAACACTTCCTTTCAAGTAGTACTTTAAAACCCTTGAATAAGAGAGGTTTCATCCCATGTGATTTGCTCGTAGTATTCATCACCTAACAGTATAGCTATGACACCGCTCGAGGGACAGCCAGGAGAGAAATCACAGTAGGAGCCGTGCTGGTCATGGCAGAGGTGGTCTGGCAGGAGACCCGGGACTAGACTAAGAGAGGCTGCGGCAGTTCAGCACTGAAGAAACTGAGCAGATCTCTGTGAGAAATTTTCCTCTGACCCTTCCCTGTTGTGCCTGAACTTGGCTAATTCTGGTAATTCCTGATTTTCAGGAACTTTTACTAATAACAGTTTAAACCAGAGTTGGATAGAAAAAGAAATTACAAACAAAAATCAAATGACAGAAGAACTCCTGTAAGGGAAGTGAGCAAGGGGGCAGAGAAAGGGAAAAGCAATCTTTCACAAACTTGAAAATTAAACTTGTGATTTTTCACCTCTCTCGGTGAAAGCCTGATCTCCTCTCTCCTGGATCCTGCTAAACAGCTCTCCTCCCTCCATGCTGAAACAAAGAACACAAAAACACACCCCACTTCACATGAGCAAAAAAAGGTCAAATTAACACCTGACTGCATTCGTGAAATCGCACAGAACCACAGCAGGAACAGATAAAAAGGTATTACAGGTTGCCTCCTATCCCAATGTTTCCTAAACATCACACGCATTTGAATCAATGCACAAAGCCATTCTGATATGGAGTAAACAGAAAACAAACCAAGACCAAGGAGATTTGACACTTTCAGTTGCATGCACCCTGTCACAGGAACATGACACACAGAGCTGGGCAGTCAGATGCACTGGCACTGGGAGGCAGACAGTAATCTCGTTTTATGTGAGGGTTGGAGATGAAGAAAGAAGGAAGCAAAGATACTGCAAAGGATTATTAGTTTGTCCCCAGCGAAGAAAACAGTAACTGCGGTATTACAAATCAAGGAGAGAACAGGAAAAGTTAAGAGTGGAAATAGTAGCAAAAAGGATCGTGTCAGGTCATAGGATTTACATCTGCAGTTGGAAGCCAATCACAATCACAGCGCATCGTGTTTGTAGAGACTTATCTTTCAAGATTGTATTCATCAGTCAATGCTTTAATGAGAACAATTGTCATGGGGTACCAGGAAAATTTACTTTTAGGTTAAGGTTCCTCATTCTTCCACCATACAAGATGGCTGGAGTATCTGTACATTTCCCTACCCGTTCCCGAAAGGCAACAGAAAGTTTGCCGTGCCAACTAAAATTGTGCTGCTGAGAAAGCTCACCTAACTCTCATCTAAAGGAACACATCCCCCCACTCCCTCCACCCCTCAAAGAGCAATGCTTGGTGGGGGCTGCTGCTGGTCCATACCATTCCATGACAATGAGAAGGCATCTCTTTCCATGATGTATATTCTCATAAACATCCAGGACGTGGACAATGTGGGGACACCCTGATGCTCGCCAATGATATTCTACTTCCTGACGGGCTTTTGGGTTGTCGTACAGGAGCTGTAAAGAAAGAGAGCGCAATGTCAGTGAGCCAGCATCGAGCTGCTTTGAATGGGCACCTACCTGCACTTGAGCGCAAAGATGGTGGCAAAGGCTATCCTTAGCACTTTCTCCAGCCACAGGATGCCAATCCACCACAAGGCATTCACCATATCCGGGCTGTCCAACATCCTAGACCGAGGCATACAGAGACAACTGCTCCTTTGGAACTGGAAGGATCTCGAGTGGCAGTGAGGCGAGATTTTGAATCTGAGATGGAGACAGACCTCTCCCCCCCATCTCAGGATGGGACACAGCAATTTTTTTTTCCTACTTGTCTGCAATGCTTGCAAACAGAGGATAATCTCTCTGCTGAGGACAATAACCTGCCCCCAGCTGCTGGGAGAAGGGCTTCTAGGTGCAATGCAAATCCTTAAAGTTTAGTGAGATTTAAAACAATATGGACTTTCGCCAACTCTGAATATGCTTCTTAAATATTACATGAATTTCTGAGCTAATCAGGGCCAGAAAGGGACCTCTGACTATCTAGATGCTTGAACTTCTCTCTGTCACATGCAAGGCCAGCTTATTTTAAAGACACTAATCCTAGAAGCGAGGTAAGAGCTCATCTTTCCTGATTCTGCAACCTTGTACACAGAAATCTATTCCCTTCCCATTTGAAGAACTGCTCTGTACCAGACTCTGCCACTGATCTTTTGTGCAACAAGGGCACATTGTTGAATCATTCCTTTTCTTCTCTCCCTTGTCTCTCTAGACACCACCAACACTTTGTGACAGAGACTCTCTTTACTGCGCATTTACACGGTTCCTACACAATACAGCTGTGAGCTGAGTTTGACACTTCATGCCCTATAGTAATAAACACTGTAATGATGGAGCAGCACCAAAACTGATGCTACATAAAACATTGTCAAATGCATTGGAACGGAATAAAAAATAAGGAAAGAGCAATCACCTCTGATCTATTCACCTTAGAAAAGGACTACAGCTGGGGAGGAACCGTGTTCAGACAGGCAAACAAAAGGTATCACCACTGCACCTTTAGGCCTCAGCCTAAAGCTCTTCTCACTCATGTTTGTTATCAGGTCCCAGTCAAAACAGAACTGCACGATAATTGCTGAAAACAAGTGCTAACATGTAACCCGTCATTAGGGACCTATGAATCAGCCCAGGAAATGAGTGCTTTTCCAGCCAATTGCCAAGCTAAGGCACAAACGGTGTCACAGGCACCTCTCGGTACAGGGAAAGGTACCATTTAAAGGTCACATGAAGGAAGTCACAAATACTGGTTTCTTTATTGACTCCCGTACAGGCAATTTGCACCACTGGAAGAAAAAGCTTACATTCCTCTGCTGCTTCAACATCCCTTTCAGAACAGCGGACGGAGTAACATGGCAGGAAAGGCCTGTAATACTTGATGAAATGCTGGGGAAGTACTAGGGAGCCAATGGACAGAAGGTAAGAGGCTTCTCTTCTTTTGCAGGCTGGGAAGAGGAAAAGGGTCATGAGTACTCCTCTACTGAACGCACACCTCAGGATTTTTGTGAAGCACAGTTTACAGAGGGTGACCAGTAGCCTCAGGAGGCTCCTAAGCTGAGTGGCCAGGGAGCCTCACCACTGTGACCACCCTCCAGGCTCCCTTGGCTCCACTCCAAAGGCTCCAGCATGACACCAGATTTTCAGCAGCGCAAGGAGCTGAAGAAGCTTCCTTGCCAAGTTCAATGCCCTTGCAGCCAACCTACTTCTTCCACAGCTGTCATTCTGCACCCAAAGCACACCCTTTTGAGATCACTAACTATCCGCCTCTTCTTCCTGCTCCAGCCTGGCTGTGGCCTGATTTCCAACACAAATAACTTCCTAAAGAAAGAGATGGCTCCAGTTTGGACAAAAAGCCCATTAGCGAGTCCAAGTGCAGTTGCTTTACGTCTTTCAGCCATCAGACCATTCAGCAGCTTTTCCCTCACAGCCACTGTGTTCTAGCTCAGTAGGACTGTCTATCAGCATTTTCCCCTCTGCCCTTCTGAGTTTGGGCTGTTGCCTAGAAGTCTCTTTAAAAGTTCATTAAATTACATGTGCAACAATAAAGCCCAAACACCCTCAGGACTAACCAGGCCATTTAGAAAAGCATTACAGAGTTTACTGCATGGGCATTACTGGATTAATGCCACTTCCGAGCAGGACACTTCAAAATCCTTCTCACCTATCCTGTGCTACTAATTAGACGTAACCATTCTCTTTACTAATGTTAACTGCGCTATAATTTGCATATCTTGTGCTTGCACAAGGTGTAGAGATGCTGCTTTTCATCTTTGTACCAAGTGCTTATGAAAATTGTTTCACAGAATTAAAGTCTCACTCTCTAAAGAGCTTTTACAAGGCATTTTGATAGACACAAGGATGCTGCAGTTTCTTTTCTCCACCCCTACAAGCAAGTTTCCTATAGCCTCAGTGCCAAGCTTGAATGTACTCATGTCAAGATGACACCTGGAGAAGCAGAGAAAAGGAAATGCAAAAATAAAGAGCAGATACACATACCAAGCAACATCTGATATCTCAACCAACTGTTAACCTTTGGATTTCTCCTTCTGAGCCTTAAAAATAAATTAAATCTTTTCCTTATGTCTAAAACTGCAAGCCATAACTATACTTTTTCAGACATCTTAGAGACACAGACACCTGTAAAACGAAAGCCAGACAGGGTTGAAAGCACCTATTTCTACAAAATTTAGGCAATGATTTAGAAACACAGATGGAAATTCTATCCCTTTGGTTAAATTTAACAAACTTGCAAAAACCATAAATGGACACTGTGCCACCTTCCCAAGCCTGAAGAGAGACTGTGCTCTTCCATCGCCGCAACAGCTTGCTGAGACTATGACCACGTTCCCCTGACATTCTACAGAAGCGCAGAGGTAGCTGTGAACAAACCCAGAGTTTCAGGTAAGTTTTCCAGCACTGCTGGTTCACCCTGCTTTGAGGAACGACCAGTTTTGTCAAACAGTATCAGCCCAAGGAGCCCCCGGTCACCGCCCCAGAGCTCCCACACAGTTCAGCTGAGTCACAGCTTGTCACGCTGGGCTGTGGGCAGGATCATGAACCAGCAAGACAAACCCAAGAAACATGCCCCATCTCCCAGTTTTTCATGAAGCCGGATCGGTGACGCAATGTACAACGCACAGCAGCCGTTGTGTAGCAGCGAGGGGATGCCTCTGTGTGTGGTCAGACAGTTTGGAATAGGAGCTGCACAGCAGAAAACTATTTTTGCTGGGGCTCAGCACTAGCAAACCACTGCCCAGAAGAAGCAGATGAAGGAGGTATCCACAGTTATTCACAGGGAGATCACCAAAACCAGAGGGGGATGGAAGGCAACAAAGTACAAGAGCTCTAGAGCCCTAAGCCTGGTGATTCACACAGCTCTTCTCGCCATCTGAAAAAGCTGGAGAGGGAACTGTGCTCTGCCTGGTTTGGAGTTAAAACAGAGCAGATATGTCAGCAGACACCCCAGGATGCCCTGCTAATTCAGGGCCTGGCAGCGGAGGGAGGCCTGAACTCCAGATTCTGGGGTAAGGGGCTAACTCAGGTTAGCAAGCGCCTGCAAAACAAAACAAATTCAAACTGCAGCGCAGAAGGCCAGCTCTGTGAAACTTCTCCCTGTGCGGAATTTCTTGTCAGAAAAAAAAAATGGAGACTAAAAAGTGATACAGTATCTTCTAATTGCTTTTCCATCGATTCAGTGATGTGTAAGCAAGGAAGGAGAGCAGGAACCCTCATACCTTAACAGTCTGATCTATACAGGAAATAGCCTTCTAAGGACTCCAGGGAGTGGGAAGTGATTTTCTGGGCTCTGACACTGTAACAACAGAGAGAGAAAACACCATGGGCAGAGGTATGAAACAGGCTGAGGACGGGAAACAAGGACTTCTCTGTGACTTTAATATGCACCAGCAGATAACATATTACTATTACACCTGCTATCTGTCCCCTACGTAGGGTTTAAGACACGTATGCTTTTCTATTTATTTTAAACTTCAGCAATTCCTCCTAGTTCCAAACAGTTGCAGTGCTTGGATTAGAACTGTTACAGGCTCAGTTCTCAGCCGCTGCACGTGCCACGTTACGGCAGCATCCCACGCTGCAAGCGTCTTTTACTTACTTGCACCAATTCCACAGTCTGAACTCTCCTTTAACAGCTTTATAATCCCTATGCTACTTTCCTCACAGGAAGGCTTCCCGTTATTAAAACAGAAACGGGACCAGCACAAAGCTTCCATCCTAGGGGTCCTCAGCATGTAATACTGATATACAGGCACTTAAATATAGCTTTACTTTTCTACCTGGAAAAAAAAGTCTCTGCTCAGGCAGAAGTGGGTAAATGTGCAACCTCTTTTGCTTTGTTTCCTCTATGCATGTAGCTGTTACAAAACTGCTGAATCCTACAAATGAGCCTGGGAATCTGGATTCACGCTGATGCACAGAAACTAACACCGTTTACTGCAGAATTCTTTATTCAAGAGGGGTTGATGGCAAAAGGAGGTTTGGATAACGTTTCTTTCATCTCCTCCCTCCCGTGCTACAAAAAGGGCGGAGGGAGAGGGAAAAAAAAGGCTTCGGGGAGGCTTTGGACTTTTTGTCTTTTATTGCATTCTGATTATTTGCACTACATCAATTAATTAAGCGTTAACAATCTTTACCCGTTTCCAGACCTCTTCATAAGGGATGAAGCCATCCTGTGTGTCGGAAGGCTAAAGGAACTGAAATTATCAAGGTTTTCTTCTCCACGCATCAGCACTGCCAGTCAGTCAAGCTGCAGCAAGAAGCGTGTGTCTTCTTGCAATGGCAGCCCAGCAAGCAGGGAAACCCAGACATGCAAGTCTCAAAGAAAGCATTGATTTTCTCCTTAAAAAAAAAACATGGAACACATTTCTGCTCAAATTATCTAGTACTGAAGCATCGGTCTATAGAGAAGGGATAAATCCAGGGTAGGCACAGGTAGTGGGTCA